TTATATAAATAAAATGTATATAAAATGAATAAATGAGAATCGTATCTGTGTTGTTGATCTGTAATATTACAGTGTTACGTTGATTTGTTTGTCCTTCTCGGACCATGCATGCACTACGCATTTCCGTGTCTATCACAACTGGACCTTCTGTAGAAACACACACCCCCCCCCCCGACACGGTTCGCCACTGCTATTGAAGAATGTTGATTATTACACTCCGAACTAGTTAAAACCTCCTACCAGAGGAAGGTTTCTTCAGAATTGATTTGGCATCTCTACCTCTGTCAACTTGTGGCTCATGACATGTCTTGTAAATTCTCCAGCCGAAGCTCCAAATAATCCGTCAGTGTTTACCATCAAAGCTCCAGCTCTCCTCGTGTCTCTCTGAGTCCTCTCTCCAATTGCTTCAGGAGTTTCCCCCAAAAATTGGCGTTGTCGGCAGGATACCAACAAATCTTCAGAACTGGTAAGTGTAATTTAAAATCCACATTTGGACATTGCCTTACTAGAATCTGTGATTGACGGTATCCTAAAATTACCTGTGAAACTGAGCGGCTGTTTTTCGTTTTCGGTTAATGAACATCTGAGGCTTTGTAACGCCCAGGGAATCAGTGTCTGGGGACTCTGTCCTGGCTGATTTTCTCTGTGTATGCTGCTCGGGACGTATGTGCCGTACAAGCATGCACAGCTCATGTTCAGAGAAATCTTAAAGAAAGGCATCAGTTAAGTGAAACTTCTGTGTGAAAGCAATTTAAAGATTTGTATTGGGCAAACCTCAGAATTTTAGAGGTTTCAGCGGCCAACACAAGCAGTTAGAAAGAAGCAGTCAGAGATATCACCACTATCGCCTCTTTAGGCACAGCTCCAGCTGCTGAACACGGGGGCGTGGGTGCAGACACCTCTCCCGTTTCTGTTTAGCTGGTGAGGTGCTATCTGAGAGGAAGAAATTCACAGCCTGGACTGCAGCCACACAGAGACGATACGGGTCGTATCCGCTACAGTTCTCTATCATATAGGCGGTTCGGCTACACGAGGCCGACAGGGAAACGCAGAAACGATAACGATAACGGGTCCCAAGGTGGGTAGATCGGCGGACGCAACGCTCTGGGGGGCCAAACGGCTCCGTGATTACGCCCTATACGATCATTTCCTGATAACGAAAATACTGACGGGCTGTCAGGAGAGGGGGAGGAAAAGAGAGGCTCTGTGTATTATTCTTATATTATTATATAGAGTCGTTATTCATTTGTTTTAAAGCTCAATAAATAACCAACACACTCTCACTCCCAACGCGTCCAGGAGCGACGCTTGGTCAGAATTCCGTGGCGTCCAGTTGTGACGCGCCGAGTTTCCATCAGCGTCATAAACGGATGCAAAGAGCTTTCAACTGATTGCAATGTATTCCCATCGGCGTCGGTATTTGACGCTTAGGGAAGCACGGCATTCGTTTGTGTCGGCAGCTGTTAAAGGCAATGTGAGCGTCCATTCCCATTGGATAACGGAGAATTGTACACCCGGAAGTAAGTATTCTCCTTACTGTCGATTGATTTGACAGTGATATCTCCATTACTCATCCACTCAAAAACACCAGATTACCTTTGTTAATTAAACGACATTGATAGGTTTAAATTGTGTACAATGCTTTTGTGTTTTTCCCCTACAATTCTGAGACAACTTGTTTTCTCTGAAATGTGGAGCGCCAAAGAGACTACACTACCCACAATCCCCAGCTATTGTTGTGATTGTCTGTCCGCTTTGCGACAAAACCTCGTGATAAGTCAACAAGCTCTGTGATTGGATTAAACATAAATAGGTGATATCTGCACTACTTATTAACTAAAAACCACCAGATTATCCTTGTTAATGAAACGACATTGATAGGCTTTAGTGTAAAATGCTTTTGTCACGTTTTCCCCTTCAATTCTGAGAAACAAGTAGTTTTGAGTTTTGGATGGCCGAAGACACTACACTACCCACAATCCTCAGCTATCTTCGCAAGGCCAGGTCTCGAGGTCACGTAGTTCATTGCTCGGAACCTTGAGACACCAGCAAGGTAAGCTGTAATAAACTCGACTGCTCACTTAATTTTCGACAATATTCAAATATAACTCAAATAAAATATTTGGGTTATGTATTCAAGTCCCACCCAGGCAGCAGGATTCGTAAGACAGTACGAGAAACTTAAAGAAAATGTAGTCTGTAACAGTTATTTTCTTTTTTGTAATAACGGATCATTTAGAAGCTAGCATTAGCCACCGTGTGGCTAGCTAGCTGTGTTAGTACAATGTCGTAGTCATCAAAGGAGCTAGCACTGTTAGTTGTATCGCTCATCAAAACAAAGAGGACTCTCTGGAGCGAAAGTATTTGTAATTATTATTATTTATTTATTATTTATTACTTAGCGGGAGTGTTTTACATGTTCGGTGTAATGACGTAAAATGTTTAGGACGCGTCACTGCGGTTGCTGGTCATTTGTTTTTTTTACCATAAGCTGTCATCAAGAAGGAATGCCATAATTTAATGTCATGATGTTTATATGTGAACAAATTACACAGTACATTAGAAGTCAGTACACATTAGCCTAATTATTAACAGAATGTTAATTGGCGTTTAAATGTTACATTCTATTATACAAAAACCCCACTTGTCATTTGTGTTTGAATATATTGAATATTCACATATGAATATATTAATTTGATTCAAACCATTGGAAGTTTGCGCACTATCTCAAGTATTCACAGCATATTAGACTGTATCTTCTGTCTCTCCAATTGCATTTAATATAGAGCATAAACTTAATAACATATTTGTGTATTTGAGAACAAATTGATCAACTGACAGCAAACATTTTTGAGATAATCCCTCTATGTTTAACTTTCATTTGCAGAATGACAAAGCCCAAAAAACAACTGTGCCCCTCCTGCCAGGCCCCAAATTCCCTTGGGCGTAAAACATGTGTGGTGTGTGTCTGCCCCCTTCAAATAAATAAAACATTTTAAAAAAAAGAAGCGGAATTAAAGGACTCTAGCTGGGGGGCTTCTGTGAAGAGCAACAGGAACGCCAGCAGGACCGTTAAGTCGGCCGAGCTATCTGTGAGTTTAAATGACTTATTATTTAAGATGTTTGGCCTCTCAGACGATTACATATCTTATTTGTCAAACAGCCTTGCCCTCAGTGAATGTGAAACCATTTTTCTGGCTTTAAAAAGATTTGTATCATTGATCAATGTGCCTGTATGCAATCTTTTTCGCTCCAATTCTTGCAGGTTCTTAAACTACACACCCTTGGCTCCAGCCCGGTCCTTTTCCTTTCCAATAAGGGCCGCAGTGGGGAGATCCGTGGGGATCTGGTCCACCATTTTGGAAATGCTGATGGGGTCGTTAGGGAGATCCTACTCAAAATGAGGAAACTCTATGAGTACCTCCTGAAAAGTAAGATCATACTTGTACTTTATTATCTCATTGTGTAGTCGTCCATGGGCTTTGTGTCAATGCATTCATCAAATTCACACTTCTGTTACATCTATCCCGTTATATCATTAAAATGTCATCCCCCCCCTGAGCCTTTTTTATATAATACAACCTATGCTGTATTATAGAACAAAGGCTGTCAACATGGGCTTGTCAGGGCCAGCATGTTATCACTGTGAACACTAAGATACTAATATGAGGGTACCACACTAATGGTATTGCAGTTACCTACTTTTTAGTTTTTATTTATAATTAATTATTTGTATGCATATTTCTTTATTTTGTATTGTGTTTTAAGCCTGTACAGCACTTTGGACAACATTGAAATGTGCTATACACAAATATTTAAAGGGTTGAATTGAATGCAAATGTCGACATTACTCACCTGTAGTTAGCAAGCATGCACGTTATGCATGTGTCTGTAATACAAACACATCTCTGCAGGCATCATAAAGATATGAGGCTGCTCTGTTTTCCCAGTTTGTAACTCTTGCCTCCTCTCTTCATGTCTTAATCCCTCTCACATGAGATGGGAGAAGAGGAGGAGACACCTCGAGAGACGAGTTGAGGCAAAAGACATTCAATGAAATTAGACATCATGACACTCCTACCTCGCACCCTAATGTCCAGGACACACATGGTGCCGTACGCTGCACGTGTGCTTATCATTACGGCTTATGCTTTTTATCTGGGCATCCGAAAAGTCATGCCTATTTTCTTCTGTGAGACGCACGTGGTTCTTTGCAAAAACATACCCGGCAACAACCTGTCAAAAGTCTTATCACCATGTTTCATTACAGATTTAATGTATTTATCTGCAAGTTTTAAATTATTTCTAGTTTAATGAGAGAAGCTGCTCCAGACTGCAACTACATTTTCATTATGATCATGGTCTTAACTAAATACGATAAGTTGTTGTGTTAAACACTGATATGAGAAACATAGCAATATGTCTACAGTCAGCTGTGGTAGCTTAAAAACATTATTTTCACACTACCTGCATTTCATTCACTTAAGAACTACCTGGTTGATTTCTAATAAGAGGGAAATTCAATGCATTTAATTAATTTCTTGCAAGTAAGGCCAAAAATAAGTCTTCCTTAAAATGTGTTCTGTTAATTTTCCCTTGTATTATTTTCAACATTTGCAGTGTGTGCTGCACAACAAGCTGCATCGACATCTGCTGGTCCACCAGCCCCCCCTGGACCAGAGCAAGAGCCAGAGCGAGAGACGGAGCGAGGGACAGAGACGGAGCCAGAGCCAGAGCCAGAGCCAGAGCCAGAGCCAGAGCCAGAGCCAGAGCCAGAGCCAGAGCTTCCGGAGACATTTACTCTCCATCTTTTTTCTCTTCCTCCACCTCCTCCATGCTCCCAGCCTTCTCTCTCCCCCTTGTCTTCTCCTCCACCGCCTCCATGCTCCCAGCCTTCTCTCTCCCCCTTGTCTTCTCCTCCACCGCCTCCATGCTCCCAGCCTTCTCTCCCCCCCTTGTCTTCTCATCCACCTCCTCCATGCTCCCAGCCTTCTCTCCCC